CAATATCAAACACTAATTAGATGAAGCCACATATATTATAAAATACAACTCATCAATTTATGTCACATCATCACCAATCAAATCCAGCCATGTGTTGGGCAATCTACAGACATGCCAAAATGAAAGAATTCTAGCCCCTCAAAATGGCAATCATATAATATATGCATTGGGATTATATATATATATATATATATATATTAACGTATCATTCAATATAACATTTAAAATGAAAATTTCAGATATAACCTATGATACATTGCATGAGATGAGATGGAAAATTACTAACATAGACGATGATTTTAATGACATTAAATAATCATAAATATTTTTGGGTGTGTTTGGTTTAATATTCCTATTGATATTCCCAATCTTATTCCCAAAATATTTGTTTGTTTAATTATTTAAGAAATATTAGTATTTTTTTAATTACTTTTAGACCCCTTAAGTTTATTAATTTCATTAAATACCCCCAGAAAAAAAGTTTAAAAATTAACAAAACACCCCACCCACCCATAGTTTCCAGATTCCGACAACCACCATCGGTGGTAGTCGGAATCTGTCACAACAGCCTAGAAACAACCAGAACTGATCGGTAATTCATCGATCTGGCCTTTTTCGGCTAGATCCACAGTGGATCTGGCCAGAAAAGGTCAGATCTAACTGTCGTTGACGACTAGATCTAGTCGTAGATCTAGCATTTTTCGGCCAGATCCGTGGTGGATATAGTCGAAAAATGCCATATTGACACCCTACCCACTAGATCCGACCGGTTTGGGTGTAACTTCATTTTTCGGCCAGATTTCGGCGGCGGTGACTGGAATCTGGCACTGTCGATGGGTGGAGGTGTTTTTGTCATTTTACAAAATTTTTATATATTAGGGTGTTTAGTTAAATTAACAAACCTATGATTTTTTTTTTTGTTAATTTTTAAATTTTACCTTATAATACTAACCCTATTCAATTACCTAATATTATTTCCAAAATCCTATTCAAAATAACGAAACAAACGGACCCTTTTGTTTTTTTGTCACAGTTTAACTCGTAATGTTACTCTAGAAACACATTATTCCAATATTATCACTGAAACACAAGTCCACCGAAGCATCGATTCAATTTCAACTATTTCATTTCAAAAAGCAGGGCGCGGACAGAAACAAGCACCACCCATCACTCACATCACACCCGCTCGATGTGCCCGGCATTACTTCATTAAGCAGATCCATGAGTTCTAAAGACACTTGCAGAAACGAGCTCCGCACTGCCATTCGTCAACTCAGTGACCGATGCCTTTACTCCGCCTCCAAATGGTACTAAAACCCTAAACCCCAATTACTAATTGCTATCATTATAATCCTTGGTTTTTGTTTCTAGAAGCAACGAAATGTTAGTTTCAAGATGCTAATTGATTAATTTATTAATTAATGGGTTTTGATATGCAGGGCAGCAGAACAATTAGTTGGAATCGAACAAGACCCGGCCAAGTATACACCCTCGAACACCAGATTCCAACGTGGAAGCTCAAGCATTCGCCGAAGGTTCCGCACAAATGAGATTACTTCAACACCGGCTGCCGGTGTTTCTTACGTCTCCACTCCGGTAATGGAGGAAGATGAAGTGGTGGATGGTGATTTTTATCTTTTGGCAAAGTCATACTTTGATTGTAGAGAGTACAGGAGGGCTGCTCACGTGCTTCGTGATCAAAATGGAAAGAAATCGGTGTTTCTGCGCTGTTATGCTCTTTATCTGGTTTGTTTCATTCTGACTTTTTTTTCTTATCCATGGTTTTGGTGACAAATTGTGAAGTATGTGTAAGTTTTCTTGAGAGTTTAGTGGGAAAAGAAAAAATTTAACTGACTATCTTGCTCATATTTTGCCATTTCGTCAGTCACTTTAACATGGTTGCTTATTCAGGATTGAAACTAGTTTTCTATTGGTTGCCATTACTTTCCCCTCTATATATTATGTTGTTGCATCGCATCATTTCAGGGAATGTATATTCATTCATTCATATGTATGTATTTGTCGATATATAGATAACCAGTCGCTGCTGTTGCCCCATTTCTCATGTTTTCTGCCCTGTTTGATCAGAAAATACTCATTCTTGTGAATCCTCAAATTACTTGGTTACTTTTACTTTTGAAGTCTTCATTTTGAGAGGATATAGTGCAAAGGGATAGATAAACATCAATGTAGGAGAACTTTCAGTATGTCTAAGAATTGGTTTATAAAATTACTGGCTACCTTCTTAAATGCATCAGAAATTGCAATTACACAGTAGTATTTATTTCTGATGGTGTTGTATTGTTGTTCACATGCTTACATATATAATGCATGATGTTGTCACTCTCAGCGATACCTGTGCATTTGGTGGTGCAATTATTTAATTTTAATATGATCAGATAAAGCTATGCTATGTTTGAGGAGTTCAATATTTACATTTTTTCACCTCTCTTTTTTTTGGGTTCCTAAGGCTGGAGAAAAGCGGAAGGAGGAAGAAACAATAGAACTTGAAGGGCCATTGGGCAAGAGTGATGCTGTGAATCGTGAACTTGTTTCCCTTGAGAGAGAGTTATCTACATTTCGCAAGAATGGAATGTTTGATCCCTTTGGTTTGTATTTATATGGTATGGTGCTAAAAGATAAAGGCAGTGACTATCTTGCTCGTACAGTTTTAGTGGAGTCTGTTAATAGCTACCCTTGGAACTGGAGTGCCTGGTTGGAGCTGCAGTCATTGTGCACTACAGTTGACATCTTGAACAGCCTTAATCTAAATAACCATTGGATGAAGGACTTTTTCCTTGCCAGTGCTTATCAAGAACTTAGGATGCACAACGAATCCTTAACTAAATATGAATATCTACAGGGCACTTTCAGTTTCAGCAATTACATACAGGCTCAAATTGCAAAAGCACAGTACAGTTTGAGAGAATTTGAACAAGTTGAAGTGATATTTGAAGAGCTTTTAAGGAATGACCCCTATAGAGTGGAAGACATGGATATGTACTCTAATGTGCTATATGCAAAGGAGTGCTTCTCTGCTTTAAGTTATCTTGCCCACAGAGTATTTATGACTGATAAATACAGACCTGAATCTTGTTGCATAATTGGGAATTACTACAGTTTAAAGGGGCAGCATGAGAAATCAGTTGTGTATTTTAGGAGGGCACTTAAATTGAACAAAAACTTTTTGTCAGCTTGGACACTAATGGGCCATGAATATGTTGAGATGAAAAACACTCCAGCTGCTGTTGATGCCTATAGACGAGCTGTAGATATAAATCCATGTGATTATCGAGCCTGGTATGGGTTAGGACAAGCTTATGAGATGATGCATATGCCTTTCTATGCTCTTCATTATTTTCGAAAATCTGTATTCTTGCAGCCAAGCGATTCTCGGTTGTGGATTGCCATGGCTCAGTGTTATGAAACTGAACAGCTTCACATGCTTGAAGAGGCAATAAAATGCTATAGAAGAGCTGCAAATTGTAATGACAGTGAAGCAATTGCCCTGAACCAGCTTGCAAAGCTGCATCATGAACTTGGGCGTGATGAGGAAGCAGCATTCTACTACAAGAAGGATTTGGATAGGATGGAAGCTGAAGAGAGGGAAGGACCAAATATTGTTGAAGCTTTGTTATTTCTTGCGACTCACTGCGGAGCCCATAACAGATTTGAAGAAGCAGAGGTGTATTGTACCCGTCTTCTGGATTTTACTGGCCCGGTGAGTTGTGTTAATATTCTTCTTTTATAGTTTATAAAGAGTTAATGATCAATTTTATAGAAATTATGTATACATGAAAATGTCAAAACTCAAAAACTGTTTTACATATTCATTTGTGCTTGATTGCAGGAGAAAGAAACTGCTAAGAGTATGCTTCGGGGAATGAGAACGGCACAATCAAGTTTTCCTCCCATGGATGTTGAGCGCTTTCCTCCATGATTTTTTGGGTCTCACTCGTAGAAGTTAAAAATCCTCTGAAGCAGCAGTCACTTGTTTCGTTTTCAACACTTGAGATATGTCTAGTTATAGTGACAAGCATATATTGGCGTTCTGTGCTGCGGAAACCATTGGTGTGTTATTTTTATATGTATTTGTTTGTCTTTTTAGGAAGGATAGACAGATATTACAGCAGGAAATTCCAGCCTGAGTATGTTGCAGTAATTTATAGTTACAAGTATGTAGCAGTAAGGCACGTATATTTCTCAACCATTGGTGTTGTACTGTGACATTACAACTGAAAGATGTGGCTGGAACCCTGGTATAATTCTTATTCTTTTGTAGCTGAATGCTAGGCGTTAAATTGATGCTATATTAGGCCCGAAAACTGTTTTAGTTTTCTCTTGAACTTTTTTTTCTTCTTTTGTTCACTTTCCATGTATTCACGTTCTATCTGCTTTGGGATTGAACTGTTTTAGTTTTCTCTTATTTTTTGTTCAGTTTCCATCTATTCACATCTCACCTGTTTTGGGATTCTCAACCCCGGGAGGTATCAACAAACCTACCTCTCACAGAATTAAACATTTCAACAGTTAAAGACACAGTGATGTTTTTCAGGTTAGTAATGTATGGCTTCTTCTGTTCATGTGCTCAATGCTCATGGTGAGTTCCGATCGCTTTTCTGCTGATAGGCAATCCATTTGGTGAGCTATTAATTTTGTTAAAAGGTGCTTGTTTTCGTGTTAAAAGTTAAAACATTCAAAGTTCAAACATGCAAGGTTGCCAACACTTTGAACGATATATAACACACTTAAGGGCATGATCCAATCTCATTAAGATTTTCATACCACGATTTCAACCAACTTTGATGAACCTGTTTTCCATTCTTGAAATCATATTTTTAACCTGCAGATCAATGGTGAAAATGTGAATTGTTACAAAGGTAATAACACCATCATTTGCAAAGTATCAGAATTTATTACCAAAATTCATATCTCAACTCAGAAGTGATGGCTAGATATATGGACAAAATGCAATAGAAATTAAGAAATAACACCAAAAATGTATAGAGAACAATATCAATTAACTTTATGTTGTTTCCAGACACAAGAATGCTTAGTCCACCCCACATAAACTCAAATCAATGTTCTCATCCAGATCTTATTTCCATTTGACCAGGCCTAATAAATGCCAAGTTGACACAAACTTCTATGACAATCAACAATGAAAGAAATGAGAACATTAGTTCTGAACATCACTAAATTGCTTCACTTAGGGTCAGTGAAGAAGCTGTTGATTGATGGCATAATTTCGGGGGCCCTCCCGCGCACGTATTTTCTCACGAAGTGCTGAGAATACTTTTCTCCCTCATCAAAGTTCTCCAAAATTCCAGCAGCCCTGTTCTCCTTGGTCACCCTGATTCAAATAGGCCAAAAGGTTGTAAGCGGACAACTAAAATAATTTCTAAGCACTGTATGCAGTATGCACCCCAAAGCATTCCTACAATTCTCACCTTCTTCAAGGTGTCGATTACATGATACATCAGATTAAAGTAACAAATAGAAACAAGTATTCAATCCATCAACTTAGACAAATGCCAATCACAGTGAGGACAATCATTTCTCAAAATATTTGACTTATAGCAATTAAAATGCTCAACTTCCATTAGAGCATAGGGCTCTCAATTCAAGTTGGTCAAGGTAAAACTTGCAGGAAAGACACCACACTTGAATTTTAACGAAACTCAGCACCAAAATAGACTGAAACTGCTATCACAAAAATTTTTATTGCAACAAAACCCAAAAATTACTTGCTAAGAAAACTAACCTTACAATTAACTAATTTTAATTGTTGCTCTGTTATGAAGGATGTTTAATACGATCCGTATTAATACATCTACTACTTTCGGGACGTAATGTTTTTCAAAAAAGAGCCTACACAAACCCTCTCTCTAGAAAGTATTTTAGAAATTCAGGATTACGGCTACTAGGATTTTATGTTAAAAAATCGAAACCTCGCTATTTAACTTCTAAGAATCGTGCTTCATTCTGTTCTTCTATTTTTAAGTTTTTGTAGCTTGGCAACCAAAAGCATTTTTTTTTAAAAAAAAAAACGCTAACCAATCAATTCTAAATAAGCCAGTAGCAGTTAAAACTAAATCACCCCCAACAATTCATTCTATTTTTCGGAAAAAAAAAAAAAAAAAAAGTTTCGCTGACAGATTATACATGAATATATGTTAATTACGCGTAAAATAAATCCAAAGTGAGAGAGACACCTGACTTCAGGGTTGATGCAGATATTGCGGACGAGCTGAAACGCGCAGATCCCAACAGCAGCACCAACGGCCGCGAACAGTGGATACACCTACACGTATATTTACATCAAAATTTAAATATCAAATATCAGCAAATCAGATCCCCTAAGTAACATAACAGGACAAAAAATAAAAAAATAAAAAAAATCTAAACAAATTCATATCATCCAATTATGGCGTTAATAGGAGAGATCTAATAGTACCTCGGGTCGAAGCCATCGGTTCCCAGCCATTGTAAGCACTGTATAAATTACCGGAGCAACTTCAAACCTGCAGAGAGAATAGGGAGGAGGAGACCAAAGGGAACAGAAACGCAGAATTTATCTTGACTAGGGCTATTTTTCTTTTATATATATATATAATTATTTATTAGTTTTTAGATGGAAATAGTGCAACTTGATTGGTTGGTTCGGCGAAGAGACGTTCATTACCCACTCTTTCTGTTTCATTAGTTGACGAATGGGGGAATGACACGTTGTTACTTAAGCGTAGTTGCCCAGACAATTAAAGGATGTCGACTCGACCCCAACTCGCTAAGTCGTTGAAGTCTTGGAAACATGGCCGACATGGCTTACAGATAATCTAGAATAACACGACACGTCGTTGACAGAATACGTGCAGTCTACATTCAACACATGCCCACATGGGTATTGCTTTAGAAGTCAAAGAAGTACCGCGGGCTTACACAGGTACACGGCCATCAGTTTCTTACTTCTCTCCTAATATTTATATTATATCTTACCAAACAGTAATATTAATCTACAATCAACATGACGGCATTACAACCTTCTGTCACAGTAATATTTATTACAACGTTCTGTCACAATTTTCAACATGACAGTTCATGAATGAATAGACAACCTATAACACACAGGTAAAATTTTTAATCATAAATGAATAAACAACCTATAACAAACAGATAAATAAGAAATTTTTAAGATGACAATTCATAAATGAATAGACAAAACCTATAACAAACAGACAAAACTTATTTCCGAACTATCGAGGTTATGAAAAAAAAATTATAAGATTGAATTGGAATCATAACATTACCCTTCACCAAATATTTATTATAAATCATCAGTTGAACAATGCTACATTACCATTCTTTATGATAACATAACAAAAGTACCGCGGGCTTACACTAATGCAGGAATGGAGAGCGGATCGATACAAGCAATCCTTCAACAAGAACTCTGAAATTTAAGGGTCCTTGAGGAATTTCTATTAAGAATAAACATTGAAGAGTACCAACAAGGAACCATAAAGCAATAATCTTGGTCCTCTGTAGATTTGTGATAAGACAGGCTTTTCAGCATGAAATTGAAAGTGAAGCTCCTTTGGTACAGAATAAATCTAACATAAAGACAGTAAAAATCCCATAATATCAGCTGTTATTTACAACAATTACAGCAATCCTTAAGTCAGTTTCCGAGACTGGATGTCAGCTTGCTGATCCATCTCTACAGTTTCCGAGCACGGTCACGCCAAGAACCTTGTTGCTTTGCAAGAACCTAAAACCATAGTAACAATATTTTGAAACTTTGTCCCTATCTTGCAGAAAAATATAAGTTTTCTGAAGAAAATATAAATCAGACTTACCTTCTCACTAAAGAGGACTGTAGCAACGCCACTTTGATTGTTCTTCTTTTCACTGTCATCTACCTCTGGCTCACTATCTGAAGTAATGGATGGTGGAACTGCTGATGCTCCAAACATGGCCTCATCATGAGCAGCTTTTATTTGTTCCTCTCTTCTTGCCTTCAAATTACACAATAAATTTCTCAAAGTCAAAGCATCAAATTGTTAGAACCAAGTAGCATAAGCATGAAGCATTAAATAAAAACTGGATTCTGCAATAAGTGATCAATTGGAAGAGATGGCGCATCATACCTCGATAGCAGAGAACCGGAAACTCTGCCCTATGTGCTTCACCAGGGCAGCATCATCATCTGCAGCTGCAGATTGGATTAATATATACAATTAGTTCTATGTTGCTATTCATATAGGTCAGACATATAGGGAGGAAAAACATATCTAACCTTCAACCTCCTCATCATCAAGAGGGGCATCCTTATTGAACTCAAACCGTTCCCATCCAGCACCCATCCCCCTTGTTTCATCCTTCTCAGCTGCATTAAATCGCACTTTTACGATGAGCACAGAAGTCAAAAAAGAAAAAACTACACATAGAAATCATCACTTTTAGGAAGTGAATTTAGGATTTTAGCTACTATGTTCTAGTATTTAACAGCTCTCTCTTGTGTATGCCAGGGACAAGATAGAACATTCGATACTAAGTGAAACAAAACCTATTCTGACTAGATCCTCCGAGAGTAAGAAAACTGATAAGTTAAATTGAATCTACACTGAAATTTGTAGTATGGGGTCAATAATGCAAAATTTTATAAAAGATTTGAGACACAATAGGGACTGTGCTTTAAAGGTAAACCTTTCAGTTCACATTAATAGCTGAAAAAAGGAAGTATCATAAGCCTTAAACTTTCGTGCTAGTAATCATCTGACAGATAACATGAACGTAAACTACAGGACAGCATGTGGTAACTTACCGGTTTCAGCAAGCTGAAGTTTCATCTTTGCTTTAACTCTTTCAGCTGGTGTCTGTTCACAAAAGAAAGATGCTCTCACAACCTAGTCCAGTTCAAGATGACTACCAACTATGCATTGAAGTCAAGTTCACATTTATAACAGGACGATACTCTAAAGAACCACGAGTTCCATAACCCAAATTAATCTCAGATATACAATTCTGGTCTTCATAACAGGAAAAGGACATATATTCAACTTTAGCGCCTTAATCTAACGGTTTTTCATTGTTGTGCATGTTGAACAAAAAAGGTTTAAGAGAACCATCTAAATGCAAAGCAGAACAGGCATGCTCTTCATTAAGTACAATGACATAAAGCATAATGAAAGGGAACATAGAAAACATAGGCAGACCTGGATAATTTTGACCATTATTTCTGTCTTTTCATGAGTTACAGTTTATTATACCCTCATCATCTATGTGGACATACAATAGTTTATACTTTTCTATCCAACTGTTTGACAAAGGAATACACACATTAAGAGACAGCTATAAATTAAAATCTCGAACTCATAGCAATCAAACAACCTGACAAGTCATAACCACAAATAATCTCAACTTCTACAAATTCAAGGTTCTACAAAAAGAGTATTTGTTGATGACAAAACTCTTTCTAAGCTATAACAATAAAACACATCCAAACAACAAAAAAAACTAGTCATGTTTTAGAGTTCCTTCCTTTCTTCTTCTTCACCATCACCTAAACTTTTAACAAGTAACAATAACACACATAAACACTAGCAGATAACTATGATTCAAAGTGAAAGCTCAGCTCTTTTTAACAACAATTTCCAAGTACAAAGTAGCCAATGCTTAAACTAAAAGCAATATCTAACACAATTTTATTTTTCTTTTGAAAAAGAAAATGACAATGCATATAATATTCGACAAAATTGAATTGAAAAGAACACACATACCATCTTGTCGTAACCGCGAATTAACCTTGAATAATCAACTTTACTATTGTTCTCTTCCCTCGCTCTGTCTCGCGGCGACACACTCCTCCTCCTTTTCCTCTTTTGTCTGTCTTCATTTCTGTCTCTGCCTCTATCTCTATAATCCCTCTCTCTGTCTTTGTCTCTATAATCCCTGTCTCTGTCTCTGTCTCTATAATCCCTTTCCCTATCTCTGTCTCTAGAATCCCTCTCCTTGTCTCTATTTCTATCATCTCTCTTTCTGTCTCTGTCCCTATGGTCCCTCTCTGTGTCTCTGCTGTCCCTTGATGGGGTTTGTTTTTCCTCACTGGGTTTCTTCTTGAGTTTGTTTTGGATGGATTGGAGTTGAGATTGTTTCTCGAGATTGGAGGTTGTGGTTGGACTGGAAGCTTTCACAAAGTTGCTGAGGAATGAAGAAGAAGAAGAGAAGGTTTGTTTTGCGAAAACGTCGTCATTTTGGATAGGGGAAGAAGAGGAGAAACCGAGACCTTGCTTAAATCGAGCGGCTCCTTGGCCTTTCCGAGTCAACTCTTCGTAGTAAGCTGCCGCTTTTTCTTCCTCCATTTTTTCTTGCTTATGCTACTGCTCAAACTTCAGCCATTTCTAAAAGAATGGAGAGCGATTTTGCTGAATGCAGCGATGTCGGTTTAGGTTCAGGATACAGGCCCATGTTAACATTATGGGCCGTCAGTTTTGCTGCCTTCCTGGGCCGGCACAAATGAGATGTGCTTATGCTTAAAGCCTTAAACTCAATAGGCCTTGCTGTTATAATTGCATCTGAAAGATAATGCTTGGGATAAAGATTATTCAAGAATGCACAACTTTGTTTATTTTGAGGTTTTTGATTTGTCATTCTCATGGGCTTCGAGATTGTGTGATTTTCTCCTTTTTTTTAATTTTTAATTTATTTGGATTTATGATGTTAGATTGTTTTTTTCCTTTTTTATCTTTGAAAATAAGATGAACGTGTCTAAATAAAAAATATAAATAATCTTAATCTAATAAATCCTTATATTATATATTTAGATAAAATAAGGGATAATTCCACAAAGTCCCGTATAGATCGCCTAGTTGGACAGCAAGCCCTCTTTCTTTCAAACTACGCTATATAAATCCGTTAGATAGGAAGATTGACATTTTTACCCTTGTTAAATTATCAAAAATTTGAAACACCAACGACAAATTCTAAAATTCTTCCCCCAACAACAATTTTTATGATGTGTTTGTTTTATTATTCCTATCCTATTTTATTCAAAATATATGTTTATTTCACTATTCTCAAAATCCAATAATATTTTATTCAACTCAAAATATTTAGACTTTTTTAACCTTCTCGATTTTTTAATTTAACTAAACACCCCTAACAATAAAAGTTTATAAATTGACAAAAACACTTCCACCCACCCACATATGCCCGGCATTTAATAGGTGGGTGGAGGTTTTTTGTTAATTTTAAAACTTGTATTATAGGGGGTGTTTAACTAAATTAATAATATAGGGAATTAAAAAATAATCTTACCGAACACATTTCCAAATTCAAATCATATTCTTGTAATAATAATCCAACTCAAAATTTTTCAAAAATACTACTGAAAATAATAAAACAAACACACCATAAAATACCCCATCTCTGGAAAAGTTCTTGGCAGGCGACAATCCCCTAGAGGCCTCACGATAGCCGCCAAAGCCATAAAGGCTTTACTGTGACAATGACTAAGGCTCGATAAGGCCTCTCGGCTACCAACTAAGGCTAGATCCAACCTCTACTTGCACCGAGAGGCCAAATTAGGTCTCTAAAGGCGCCAAGAGGTGAAGCCTCACAACGCCATAAAGGCTAGATTCAGCCAATTGGCACCAATAAAGGTTGGATACGACTAAAAGGTGCTGATAGAGGCCAAATATGACTCCTAGGCAACTGATAGAGATTGGATTTGCCTCAGGGCATGCCCTTGAGGCGGTTAACGGTGGTGAGGAGGGAGGAAGAAGAGGGGGGAAAGAGAAAAAAGAAAGAGGAAGGGGTCAGAAAGGAAAAAAAAAGAGGGGGAAAAGGGCAATTAACTAGGATTTAGTTAAATGTCAAAATTACCCTTCTAAAAATGAAAATATCAAGTTTACCTTCTCTGCAGTTAACTTAAACGAGCAATATTAACAGAATGGGGGCTAGGGTCGTATTTTCCATTTTGCAGGGGCTTTCGTTTCTTGGTGATTTTTACAAGGTTTTCTAGAATCCCTTAAAATAAAGGGGTAATTGCGGGTGCATTTGGTTCAATATTTCTACCCATATTCCCAATCCTATTCCCCAAATATTATTTGGCACATTATTCCATAAATATTAGTGTATTTTTTAATTACTTTTAGACCCCTTAAGTTTATTAATTTCACTAAATACACCCAGAAAAAAAGTTTAAAAATTAGAAAAAACACCCCCACCCACCCATACTTGCCAGATTTCAGCAACCACCATCGGTGGTAGCCGGAATCTGTCACAACGGCAACCACCATCGGTGGTAGCCGAAATCTGTCACAACGGCTTACAACAAGCCCGGAACTTGCCGTTATTCACCGATCTGGCCTTTTTCAGCCAAATCCACAATGATCTGGCCATCAGCGACGGCCAAAGAAATAGCCGTCGTTGATGGTCAACGACGGCCAAAACTTGGCCATCGTTGACAAAAAACGACGACCATATCTTTAGCCATCGCTGACGGCCAAAGATAGACCTTTGCGGCCGTCGACGACCACATTTGGTCGTAGATCTGGCCTTTTTCGGCCAGATCCGTGGTGAATCTAGCTGGAAAAGGCCAAATCGATGCATTACGACACAGATCCGACCGGTCTATGTAGTAACGCAATTTTTCGACCAGATTCCGGCGGTGGTGGCCGGAATTTGGCATGCGGGTAATGGGGGTGTTTTTGTCATTTTACAAATTAGGGTGTTTAATTAAATTAGCAAACCTTGGGGTTTTTTTATAAGTTTTTAAATTTTACCTCGTAATACTTTCCTATCCAACTATCCAAAATTATTCCCAAAATCCTATCCAAAATAATGAACCAAACGCACCCTGTGATTTTTCTGATTTAGAATCCAAAGTGACACTGACAGTCTAACCTTTTTGTTTTGAGGTTTGAAAGCTGCCTCTCTTTTCCATTTCGTTCACTAGACAAGAATAAGTGTGGTATGAAAATTGGTTGGATGCATATTAGTACCAAAATGATCAACTTCACTTATTCTACCACCAAATCTTTTGTCATTTTCCAATAATAATTATATGGTTGAATATATCATCTTACAAGGAACATTAGATGTTGGTTGTGTTTTCAAACATGTTCTAAATCTAATAAAGTTGACACGTAGCATTCTAATCATATGTGAGAGAAGCATTCTAAGAATGAATATATATATTCCACATACACTTACACCCACACATCTCTTCTATCATATTTAAAATGGTTAGCGAAAATTAAACATATCAAAAACATAAATGAAAAACATAAATGAGATCTTTTTGCTATTCTTATCATTTTCAGAATATCAAGACACCTTTAAGGTTAAGAGAAGGTTTAGAAGTATGAAGGAAAAATAAAAGAAGCATTGTAAAAAACTCTCTTGTATATTTCACTTGCTCTTACATTGTTCTCTTATCACAAATCTCTCATATTTACCCCCTTGCATACATTTCTCTTTTCATATTTTATTTTCACACATTTCTTTTATGTTTCCTTCATACTTCTAAATCTTCCCTCAACCTCAAGGGTGTCTTGATATTCTAAAAATGGTAGCACCATCTCTGAAGTCTAGTAACCCTTAATGGTATCAGAGCTAGCACACTTATTGATTCAAATTACTGTGTGTGCGGAGGAGTACCTCCCCTCGGTTATTGGCTTCTTTAAGTTACTTATTGGTTCCAATTTCTGTGTGTGCAGAGGACAACCTCCCCTTGGATATTAACTCCTTTAAGTTCTAGTTATATTTTATGTTTCATGTTCTTAATTTATTATGGGTTTCGAGCTATTCTTACTATTTGAGGTTGTATTACACATCTAAGAGGTTGAGAGAAGGTTTGAAAGTATGAAGGAAACATAAAAGAAATGTGTGAAAATAAAATATGAAAAGAGAAATGTATGCAAGGGGTAAATATGAGAGATTTGTGATAAAAGAATCATGTAAGAGCAAGAGACATATATATATATATATATATATATATGAAAAGAGAAATGTATGCAGGGAGAAATACAAGAGATTTGTGATAAGAGAACAATGTAAGAGCCAAAGAAATATATATATATATATAATTTCATTATCCGTATTATAGAAATAACACACATTGAATTTAATACTAAAAAGCATGAATTTATTGCAATGCAAGGAAAGTACAACATAAAAAAAATGGTAGAAACTTTTTTATAGACTAGAGTGTGATAATAATTTAACGAAATAAAATAAAAGATTTAAAAAAGTTTCATATTAATACAAAATTAGCTAATTAACAGTTAAGAACACATTACGTTTAAAACAAAGAAAAAACTATAAAGGTTTGCTTAGTTAGGTGTATTGAACAATATAATTTGCAACTTATCTTCTTTATGGAATTATTTTAGATGAGAGAGACTGTATTATCAGGAGATTATTTCTTAGAAATTAAAACTTACCCGAGTTGATTTGTATAACCCAAAATTAAAGTTTAAGAAATTTCAAAAATATTTACTTTATATTAAATAGTAAAAGATTGATATATTTAATTATATTTACATCAAAGAGAACAAAAAAAAAAAACCATTTTAACATTCAATATAAAGTAATATAAACTATAAAGTTAGTAAAAATAAATATTTATATTTAATTACGGATCATATATTTTGTAATATCCGATATCAATTTTCAGATTTGTTACATTATTTATGATCTCTTGTATCATATAATATCAATATTAATATTGTTGTTATTAAAAGATGTGGCTTTCCAACTATTTGCCAGCTTGCTTGCCAAATGGATATGTCTTGTCTTGGCAATGAATCATAGGTTCTAGTGGGGTCGTGGATGGGGATGGCTATAAATTGAGCCCATTTTATTCACTTTTATACAACTCAATTATGAGAGTTTTTAAAAGCTTAATTTCAGCCCTCTTTATTCTACTCTTTTTTTTTTTTTTTTTTCTAGTCCTGTAGTTTATTTTATTGTAATTACACCATTGAGATTATGACATGTTATTAGCACGAAGAACTTAGTAAGTTATTAGCATGAGGAGCTTAGTAACTGTAATTGTTTTATTCATTCATTTTATTAGATATTATATGATAAAACTACCATTATGAGTATGCTCTATGGTTGCCATAAAATGGATATTTCATAGCAAAAAATACGGTTAGTTCCTAGCAATTATATATTTGTTATAACTGTTTCCTAAACTAACCAATTGACTTTATTTCTTTATATGTATTGGTAATGCTGTTACATTTTGAAATAAATGACTTAATTGCATTACGTAGTTATTTTTCTAAGGTTTATTATATTACTGGAGACACTAGAAATTATGCAACCTGAAGTTTGTAAATAGAAATGATGAATGAACCTGTTGTGTGTGATTTTTTCACCAAGCTCGGGATATCGCGAG